CCCCCCTCCCCTTTCCAATGCAGACCCCCTCCACCTCCTTGCCCTCCGTGCCTTCTGTTGGGTCGACCTGCATATGGTTATTTCTGAAAAAAAATGAATGGAAGAGGAGGAAAAAAAAACGAAAGCGAACAGGCTTCGCGTTCCAATTCCAATACACACAACGTTCACCACAGTAGAGAGCAAACGCACATGGAGCTGGGTGCGGTTTCTCCTCCCTCACACACACACACACACACTCGCCAAACGGAATCACACACACATGACTCAAATGCACGAATGCTCGGTCAGTGTATTTGCTGTTACTTTTTATAACGTTTGTCCAAACGGCCGTCTTTTTATTTCTTTTTATTTCTTTTATTGATATGCGCTTTTCCCTCTCCGCTATTGGCATATTGCCACCCCGGCGGATTACTCAATTTGTTTTCGGATGGCCGCTGCACTGTCAGGTGTGCCCACAAGGGCGGCAGACAGACTGACATACAAACGGTCAGTCAGATAGACGAGCAGATCGCACGGGCGAACAGACGAGCAGACAGACGGACGGGCATGCAGACAGACGAGCAGATAGACGAACCGACAACTGTGAAAATTTGAGTTGTCACTTGATGACCATTTCAAGGCTAATTTTTCTTGCGACAATGTCGTCAAAACATTTGGCGACATGGCTAGTCACGCCTATGCAATACGTGTAGGAGCTTTGATAGAAATGTCATCAATTTGTGATGAGATTATCATCATTTGAAAAAGATGAAAATATCATTGCATGTCGAGAAAACACAGCTCAGTTGTACAAACCTTATTCTCCATTAATAATTCAAGGCTGTCTCATTTGACTGTACAGTACAAAGAGGTGACAAAACCCACCAGATTACCTTTCGTAATACGAAGAAAAGTTTCATATTACGAAACGTAGGGTTTCACTAGAGAAAAGCCTTTTAATACAACTGCACTGTGTTTTCTTGTCGTTCATAACAGAAAGCTTCGTGGTTCTGAAGTCGTTCTTAGTACAAACTTTTAGTGCAGACGAACGTCAGCAGACAGACGGTCAGACAGACAGACAGACGGTCAGGCAGACAGACAGACAGACGGGCAGACAGACAGACACAAAGGCCACGACTGCAACACGTTCCCGCCGAGGCCGGTCTGCCGTGTTGTGCGGCGCACCCCACGTACGCCTGGGGGATATGAAGCAGATCCCGAATGAAAAAGGGTGTCTGTGCGACGGTGTGCGTGCGTGTGAACCTCTGTGTGCGTGTATGTGTTGGCGTGTGTGTTAGTGCGTACAGGTGTGTGCGTGTGTGTGTGTGTGCCGCACGTGTAGTCCGGGGGCTGCTGCTGCGTGGGGCGCGTTTATCCTTTGTTCTCTATCAATAATGTGGAGTCCGTGCCGCCCGGAGCCAGCAGACTGATTCCGAGGGTCTATCTCGTCGCTCTCTCTCTCTCTCGGACCCATGGGGCGTCCCGTGTAGGTGCGAGAGAGACAGAGCGACGAAAACAACTCTCGGTCTGCTGGCCGCCCTAGGCGCCCGGAGTTGCGGGGAGTCCCTTGACCGGCGCGGCGCGCAATAGAAACGTGTGCCGGACTTTCATTCCGGGACCGGGGCCGCAAACTCGCGGCGTTCCGGGGAAATAGCTTGTCGGAGTGGAGCGTGATTGCGGCCGGGTTGCGTTGGGGGGGGGGGACGTCTTGCTTAGGGCTTTTGTTTCGCCAAGAGAGCTGCGTGCCACGAGGTTGTATCAAACTACAATGTTCGCTGCACCAGGGGAGCGAAGTCGTTGAGTTATTTCAAGATCTTCAACAAAACCAAAATACAAATTTAAAAAAAGAAACCAGAAATAAAGTCAAATTACGACACGTCTTTGTCACCATATCTATCTCGACAGCCTGAACTGGGTCACAATGGTTCAGATCGTCCAAATTAAATGACTGACTAAAAAATTGTTTTATCTCAAATAGCGAGTTACTTACAACGTTACGGCAAGACAACACAGAGTCTTTTTAAATGCATTTGGTGACGCGGAGATCTCCGATAGGATCTAAGGGGTGGGTACGGTTGGCTTGAGTCAAGCCTGGTTAAACTTGACGGTGTCACGGTAGAAATAAAGTTAAACTCCCCCGGGCACTTCGATAGCGGGAACGTATGCGAGTGAGCCTGTTAGGTCTGATTTCAATTTCAGTCTGCACGGTAAAAACGGTTCCTGGTTTTCCCAGGAACTCCATGGAAATCACCTATGCCTTCACCATGGGCTTCCTGGGAAAACCAGGTTCCATTTTTACCGTGTGATCAACCCTTAAGGGTAAATTGATTTCGCTTTGGAAACAGGGGGGCAATACTACCCTTTAGTTTCGAGTTTCACCAGTGTTGGCCGCTTATTACTTTCAGTGCATTCTCCCGCCGGTGTGTACCGCTAAATTTATAGCCAAAGTTTTGCTTCGGGAACGACCTTTTTAATCGTGCGTGCTGCTGGACGAGGCGTGGCGAGGCGTGGCGGCGCGGGAAGGACGGCAACGAAGCGATGCGCGCCGATAACGGTTATTACCGGTGATGATCAGGGCGGATGACCGTCCTCCTCCCACTGTGCCGCCACACAGTGGGCCAGAAGACCGGTGGGGGCGGACAAAACTCCAGACGCGTTTTGAGCTCCAGAGTCGCTAAACAGGCCTGGAACCGAACGTGTGACCCCACCAATGGATTCCTCGTTCGGAGAGCAATCCATTGGTGCGGTCCCACGCTCGGTTCGAGTCCCATTCAGCGACTCTGGAGCTCAAAACGCGTCTAAAGTTTCGTCCGCCTCCACCGGTCTTCTGGCCCACTATGCGCCACGCACCAGGAACAGGCTGCGTCCGAAACCACCGCAGTCATCCGCGTCGTCTCTGCCGCCACTCACCGTGGACTAAAGGGGAGCGACAGAGACCGTGCACCGCCTCGAACGCAGCCCAGCAGGATAGGGTCCGATGCCTTGGCGCGCAAAGGTGGGCCCCCGCCGTCCCCTGCTGCAGCCCGGCAGGGGATTGCATGTCAGGGTTGCGGCTGCGAGGGGAGGGGGAGGCGGTTGCGTCTAGCCATGACATGAGAAGGGCTGGCTGATGAGCTGCTACTTTGAGGTGGCCATGATCCGTGCAGGGGATGGGCGAGCGGGGGCTTTGCCCACACCTCACCCATACATACGCAGATGCCATCCGCTCCCACACACATATACACACAGCGAAGCCACATCACACACGTGCAAACGTCGCCGCCACCGGTGGACATACTCCTGCTTCGGTAAGCTGATGGATTCCCGCAATCCCATGAGTGCGCGCGTGTGTGAGGGGGGAGCGGCGTGTCGTGCACACGCTGGAATGGGTGTGCGTCCGATCCACAGAGGCGACACACACACACATTAAAATGGCTGTTGCCGACGCCCCTTTAGTAGCTTTCCAGCAGACGCGCAGATGAGGGCAAACGAGGCGTGAAGCAACAAGAAAGGCGCTGAAGGGGCTTGTCCCCGCGAAGGGGAGAAGGGGGCGCTAAATCAGCCGTTTGATCTCTTTTGCCGTGTTTCATTTCGATGCACCTGAGGCTCCCGCAGGTAGGATTCTCCCGGCTGGGGTGGCGCCAGTGCCCCGTCCCCTCCCCCCTCCACTTTAACCCGCGTGGCATTTCGTATTCAATCTTTGAAACGTAAACAAGTAATCAGGGCGGCGTTCCTTTCTGCAAGAGGCATGCTTGTCTTTTCTCCTCTTTGTGTTTTCCAATTTGTTTCCCCTCCTCCATCACTGTCCGCGCCACATCTCTGCCTCACTAATGAGTCTTTCGTTTCTTTTCTTGCGCCGTTACCTTTCCCCTCCTCTTCGTTCTGCCTTCTTCTTGCGTTGACCTTGGCGGGCCCTGTGTACAATACGGGGTACGCCCCGCGGGTTAGGAGCGACGCGACAGATAAGGTATGGCTTCTACTCGAGGGAAAATTTTCAGAATTAAGAAACCTGAGTCATGTCCAACCTTTCATTGTGGCTCTTCTTAGCTCCTTCTTACTCGCTCTTTGCTATTGCAACCTGGAGTAACTTCGGACAATTTTCGGGGTACTGTGGGTCAGTTATTTGGTCTCGAAGAAGGCTATAAAAACTAATGTTGTTTTCATGCTGATGCTAATTTTAGACGTACACTATAACTGGGTGATTCCACGCCAACTGAGTCAGTCACAAAACGGCATGGTCTCGGATCGGGACGAAACTTGCGCAAATCGTAGGTCTAGTAGTGGGATGACTAAATCCAAAAGCGTTTGGCCGAAAAATATCTAGAAGCCGAGATATTGAGAGGTTAAATATGGTGCCGGGACAGCGACATGGAAACAGTTTTTCGCTCGCAGTTTCGGTAATATCCATCGGATCGAGAAACCAATCATACCGTTGGAAAGAGGAGAAAATTTCACAAAAAGCACTTCCTTTACTTTCTTTTATAAAGTAAAAATACTAAATAACCTTACCTTTGATTTATCGTAGAAAGTTAGTTGCACCACCAAATTTGCTGGGAAACGTCTTAAAAAATTCCCCGTGAAACAAAGATAAGGAAAAGATCAACCACAAAAAGTACTATTTCTCGTTCCCGAGATATCTGCATTAACTATCTTGAAGTAGCGTTGCGAGTTCAAGCTCGTGCGGCGGACGAGGTATGAGAAATCCTGCGGCGCGCGTATCACTAGGCACGTCGCTAGGTGACCCGAATTAGAACAAAACATACATTTTCAGCCACAATACTGACAAAGTGACGTACTAAACGTGCAAGGAAGAGTGTGTGAGGCGGACATAGCTGTGGATGCGGTCAAAATCACAAATGCAACGGTTGTAAACAACTCAATATGCCGCGCAGAATGTCTAAACTTCTGTTTGCAAACCGTGCATGTGAAGGGCTTCTCTCCTGTGTGGGTTCGAAGATGAATCCTGAGAGCATGACTGCACAGCTTCTTGCAAACTGAGCACTCAAAGGGTTGGCTTCCTGTATGAGTTCGAAGATGGGATTTCAGATTAGAAGATTGTGTAAACTTCTGACTGCAAACTGTGCACTCGTAGGGCTTATCTCCTGTATGGATTCGAAGATGAGACATGAGTTCAGCTCTCGATTTAAATTTCCCATTGCAAATTGTGCACTTGAAGGGCTTGTCTCCTGGTTCGAAGATGTATTTTAAGGTAACTAGAATACCTAAACTTCTTATTGCAAACTATGCACCCGTAGGGCTTCTCTCCTGTATGGATTCGAAGATGTTTTTGCAAATAACTTCTCGAGGTAAACTTTTTATTGCAAACTGTGCACTCAACAGGATTGTCCCCTGTATGAGTTTGAAGATGGATTTTGAGGCAGTCAGGATATGCAAATTTCTTATTGCACACTGTGCACTCAAAGGGCTTCTCTCCTGTATGGATTCGAAGGTGGACCTTTAGGTGACTTCGCCTGTTAAACTTCTTGTCGCAAACAGTGCACTTGAAAGGCTTGTCTCCTGTATGGATTCGGAGGTGGGCTTTGAGACTCTCTGAACAGCTCAACTTTTTACTGCATTTTGAGCATTCAAAGAGTTTGACTCCTGCATGGGTTTTACGATGTTTTTGGAGTGCATTTCCAGAAGTAAAACTTTTATTGCAGACTGTGCACTCGAAGGGTTTTTCTCCTGTGTGAGTTTGAAGATGAATCTTCAGAGTGGTTGACCGGCTCATCTTTCTCTTGCAAATGGTGCACTCAAAGGGCTTGACCCCTGCATGGGCTCGTAGATGAATCCTGAGACCATATAAATGACTAAACCTTCTTTGGCAAACCATGCACTGATAGGGTTTGTCTCCTGTATGAATGCGGAGATGAGATATGAGTTGACCTCTTGATAAAAACTTCTTATTGCAAACAGTGCACTCGAAGGGCTTCTCTCCTGTGTGGACTCGAAGATGAATTTTGAGTTTATCTCCCGATATAAACTTCTTGTTGCAAACTGTGCACTCGAAGGGCTTCTCTCCTGTGTGGGTTCTAAGATGAGTCCTGAGACTGCATGTCTCACTAAACTTCTTGTAGCAAATTGTACACTCGAAAGACTTTAATCCAGTGTGGGTTCGATGGTGCGACGTCAGATAACCCGCCCGTGCAAACTTCTTATTGCAAATTGAGCACTCAAAAGGCTTGTCTCCTGTATGGCGTCGGAGATGGGTCCTTAGATTTGATTTCTGGCTAAACTTCTGATTGCAAACTTCACACTCCAAGGGCTTGTCTCCTGTATGGCGTCGGAGATGGGTCCTTAGATTTGATTTCTGGCTAAACTTCTGATTGCAAACTTCACACTCAAAGGGCCTCTCTCCTGTATGGGCTCGAAGATGGGTTTGAAGAAGACCAGCATATCTGAACTCCTTATTGCAAACTGTGCAATGCAAGGGCTTACCCACTTTGCTAGTTTTAACTTGACGTTTGAGTTCTGAGTTCTGTTGGAGCTCCTCGTCCCAAACTGAGTTGACGGGATTCTTCCCGGGATGACTTGAACGGTGTTTATTTTGGTCATTTTGATGTTTAGGTTCAATCAAACTTGCCATACTAACTGGGGTACCTGAAAGTTTAAAATCTTCGTCACTGCAGGCGTGGATCAGTTAGTGGTGCGAGCGTCGATAACTGAATACATACCTCCAGCGTCGAGGTCGTCCAGTCCTTCGTCGCCGTCGAAATCAGGAGCTGCCTCCATGGAAGACGATCACCAGGATTCTGAAACAAGGAAAAAAAGGGGCACCTGTGATTGTCGGTCTCGAAAACCGGAAACCATAGAGAACGAAATCCGCACAGTGCGCACTTCCACGCGGTTCCGGCACCGCGGGCTTGCCCTTTCGTTCAGAACCAACAAGACAAGGGGGCCTTTCGCAGGCGACGGCGCGGAGGGACGGGGTCTCATGTCACCCCACTATTGTCACGTTCGTCCCGTTTGGCTCCGGGCCAGGTGCACGCTACTGCCACCGCCCCCATGGCCACCACCAGCCCCACCCATGGTCGCCACCAAGTTTTTCATTTCATTGGATTTCAGACGCTTTCATTCAAGACTTAGAGGAAACAGGATTTCACGAGTTGCTAATTTTTCACGGTGATAGCCGGCGGCACAAGCCGCCCCGCTGTTCCCGAGTGGGAATCGCACAAGGATTGGCGCTCTCTGCATTACAGCGTTGTAATCGCCTTGCCGCTTCGCCAGCAGACTGCTTCCCAGCGGGCGGGTGGAGTCTCTCTCGCTCCCTCGCAGTCGTGGGGCGTGCCGAACCAGTGCGAGGGAGACCACCCGACGGGACGGCCCGCTCGGAACCAGCTTGCAGGCACAGACCCCAATCGCCTTGTCCCCCCACGACGACCTCAAGCGGCAAGGCCCCCTCTCGGTGATGGCGCCACGAGGGGGTAGGGGAGGGAAGGAGAGGGTCTGGAGTAGCCCTTGCCGGACACCCTTTGGCAACGAAACACTTCGGGCCGTGTAATGTCTTCACCGCCCCGTGCGGGTGTGCGCGCGGTGCGGTGGCGAGGGGTTTAGCTCGCTCACACTCTGTTCGGGCATCACTCCGGCGGCCGTTGCTCTGGAAAGCGATATTGCGGCGGCCACGCCCAACTCGTCCTCCTTCGAGTGGCCACGCCCTGGTAGGGCCTGCACTGCAAGGATCGGGGCGCCGCACTGCAGTCGATCCCGCGCCTCAACGGCCAGGCTACTACACCTGTTCGCACAAAATTTCCGTACTTTTGTACACTGTAAATGTCTTACGGTGAAAGGCTGCACCAACATATTATGATGATTTTCTCCATAATACCAACGAAATTCGTCAAAATACCTGCAAGGTACAGTGAATTTTGAATGGTATGTTCCGAAGTCAGCTGCACCACCATAATATGGATCATTTTCACCATAATATGGAGAATCTTCACAGCACAACATTTAGAGTGTATAGATTGAAACGTAAAATTTCTGTCCACGTTTCCTATTTCTCCAAGGGACTTTTAAAAGCTTCACCTTCACCCTAAACGACCGCGTGTGACCGACTTGCTCTCGCGAAAGCTCGTCCCTTGCAAAAGGGAAAATATATGGAAAATATGTGAGCAATGTATGGAATTTATATATTTGCCACATATTTTTTATATCGGAAAAGTATCTTGCTAAATTATCTTTTCCACATATGACGTCAATACATGTTGGGCCATATATTTGGTCCATATAGTGCAGCGGTTCTCAACCTTTCTCGGCTCGCGACCCCAAATTTGGAGCCAAAAATTTCCGCGACCCCCAGGAAAAATTTCGCGACCCCACGGGACCCCTCCTTTAACATGCCACGGCGTCTGATCCGAGGCGGGCAGTTTGCTCCCTCAACGGGCAACTGGTCTTTGGACCTTCCTTTAGCATGCCTTTGTTACCGAGTGCAATTATCAGTCTTAGTTTGGGAGCAGTATTGTCTCAAAGTTGGCCAAAACGCTCAGAAATGTCTATGAAAAATCGTGTTTTGGGCTGATTTTAAGCAGCCACAGCGTCTGATCCGAGGCGGGCATTTTGCTCCCTCAACGGGCAGTTGGTCTTTGGACCTTCCTTTAGCATGCCTCTGTTACGGAGTGCGATTATCAGTCTTAGTTTGGGAGCAGTATTGTCTCAAAGTTGGCCGAAACGGTCAGCAGTGTCTTTGAAAAATCGTGTTTTGGGCCGATTTTAAGCAGCCACTGCGTCTGATCCGAGGCGGGCATTTTGCTCCCTCAACGGGCAGTTGGTCTTTGGACCTTCCTTTAGCATGCCTCTGTTACGGAGTGCGATTATCAGTCTTAGTTTGGGAGCAGTATTGTCTCAAAGTTGGCCGAAACGGTCAGCAGTGTCTTTGAAAAATCGTGTTTTGGGCCGATTTTAAGCAGCCACTGCGTCTGATCCGAGGCGGGCATTTTGCTCCCTCAACGGGCAGTTGGTCTTTGGACCTTCCTTTAGCATGCCTTTGTTACGGAGTGCAATTATCAGTCTTAGTTTGGGAGCAGTATTGTCTCAAAGTTGGCCGAAACGCTCAGAAATGTCTATGAAAAATCGTGTTTTGGGCCGATTTTAAGCAGCCACTGCGTCTGATCCGAGGCGGGCTTTTTGCTCCCTCAACGGGCAATTGGTCTTTGGATCTTCCTTTAGCATGCCTTTGTTACGGAGTGCGATTATCAGTCTTAGTTTGGGAGCAGTATTGTCTCAAAGTTGACCAAAATAGTCACAACGATTTTTCAAAGACACTTGCGACCGTTTTAATCGACTTTGAGACAATACTGCTCCCAAACTAAGACTGACAATCGCACTCCGTAACAAAGGCATGCTAAAGGAAGGTCCAAAGACCAATTGCCCGTCGAGGGAGCAAAATGCCCGCCTCGGATCAGACGCAGTGGCTGCTTAAAATCGGCCCAAAACACGATTTTTCATAGACATTTCTGAGCGTTTCGGCCAACTTTGAGGCAATACTGCTCCCAAACTAAGACTGATAATTGCACTCCGTAACAAAGGCATGCTAAAGGAAGGTCCAAAGACCAACTGCCCGTTGAGGGAGCAAAATGCCCGCCTCGGATCAGACGCAGTGGCTGCTTAAAATCGGCCTAAAACACGACCCCAGCATCGCCGCGACCCCTTAAAAAAATTTCGCGACCCCGCTTGGGGTCGCGACCCTAAGGTTGAGAACCACTGATATAGTGCTCATATATTTTCCATTTTGCAAGGGGTCCTGAGGCCATATCGGGACGGCGCCCAGCAGAGCGCACAGGACGCTGCTTCCGAAAAGTTCTTCGGTCGCCGTCACTCACTCTCTCCCTCCCACCCGGCTCATGGGGTTTGTCATAGGAGTGCGAGAGAGAAAGCGCGGCGAGCAGTGCTCGGAATCAGCCCGCAGACAGAGCAGGGACGGCGGCGCCCAGCGGCCACCACCGTCCCAAGCCGCGTATCTCAGCGCAGCCCGTATCAAATTCCTGCCATGAAGGGACCTTTTCCACCCCAATAAGTTGACTGCACCCCCGAGCTGCCGTCCCTGGTCGTCGTCCCGTGCACCCAGCTCTACACAATGCGGCCTACTGCACCGGGCGGTGGACTCTTAGAAAGAAATAACCATTGCATGTAGCTTTGATCCTATACGCACACATCATCACCAGTCTAAAGATCAATCCTTCGCGAAGTTCAAGCACAGCGCGCTTTAAAGAGAAGCGCGAGGACATGCGCGCCTGTCGACGCGCCGCTGCACTGAGAATGAAAGAGTCTTGATCTATATCCAATTCTATCAACTTTTTTTTTTGCTATCCCAAAATTAACATACATTTTCGTTGCCACAACAAATTCTTTTTTTTTCCGTGTTCCTCACCCAAATTTGGTGGCGGAAGGGTGTATCAGCTTCCTGTACGGCTACGTCGTATTATCACCCTAATTTAGGCAAGGAAACCTTCCTCAACCAAATTTGGGTCATAAAGAATTCCTCACGCAAAATTTTAATCCTGATTGATCATGAGTCTTTCATTCACAGTGCGCTATTGTCATTTCGGCGAGCAATCTCCGCCGTGCGTGTGTATAAAGTACGCTGCGTGGTCACAATAAAGGTCCCCTCCTTGCCGCACAGCGCCATCGCCACACTTTGGGGGCCTTTTGTCCGCTTTTGTCCCGGCGCGGCTGGCCGCGTGGGCTCCTCCGTTCGATTCCGTATCGGCCGCCGGCACGCGGGCCGGACGCGCACGCACGCACACACGCAAACACACACACACACACACTCACACTCACACACGCACGCGAGCGCCCCTATCACGTTAGTATTGTAATTGACAAACAAAGCAGGCGCGGGGTCACAGCGGGCCGCGGGGGTCGCGGCAGCCAGCCTTCCCGCCGCGTCCCGCCGCCACCTGCGCCGGCATTGTCCGCTCGCACAATACGTCGAGTCGCATTAATCAACCACAATAAACTCATCGGCCGCGGCCCCACTGTGAGAAGTACATCGGAAAATGTGTGTCCCGACGACCCTTTGGGGAATAGTACAAGTCCAAAAGTGTGGAGAGTTACTCCGCACAAGGAAGAGTGTACTCTTAGCCTTTTACTGACTATTTCTCATAAGCAGACGCATTTCTGTAAGCAACCATAATACTTAGTATTTTTTGTCAGAATTACTTAGCGATTGATAGTTACTGTACTGATATTACCGTTTTCCAAGTAAATTACAATGAAATTTCTAAGTATTTTAGAACGAAATACTAGGTATTAGGGTTGCTTATAGAAGTACGTCTACTAATGAGAAATAGTCAGAAAAGGGCTGAGTGTGGGGAGTTCCGAACACTTTGGTTTGACAGTGTTCCGTCTTCTGCGCTTGGTTTAGACGTGGCTGCTTTCGTCCAGGTCACCTTCTCTCTCTCTCTCTCTCTCTCTCTCTCTCTCTCTCTCTCTCTCTCTCTCTTTCATTCTCTCTCCGCGGCCTGTGCTTGGGTCCAGGTGCCGGTGTTTTTGCAGAAGCCTCAAGCCCAGCTGGCGGCCGGCGCACGTAGCTCCCGGTTCTGGGCACCATCGCTTGTCATGTCAGCGCGCCCTGCGCGGGCAACCGGCTGCGATTCCCAAGGATCGTTCCTTCACTCTCTCCGTCTCTCTCGCACTCCTTCGGAACGCCCCGCGAGTGCGAGAGAGACAGAGCGACGACGCGATCCTTCGGAGTTGGGCAGCAGCAGAGGCCCGAGCAGAACGAAGTGGCTGCCCAGAGCGCGGCTGGCGGCGC